ATAAATCTTTATAACTGTGAGACTTTTAGAATGATAAAAGTCTCCTAAAACTCTTTACTCAAAACTTAATTCAAAATCCAATTATACCCTTTAATAACCTACTCACTTAGTTATTCTCTTGGTGTCTAACTCTCTGAGATTACCAAATCAAAACCAAAACATCATATTTATAAATATAAAACCCCTTATACCTTTACTAAACTCTCGATGTGGGATATAAGATAAACTCAAACTCACTTAACTTTCGATGTGAGATTCTGAGATTCAAGGTAAATCCCAACAAAACAAAGCCATGAGCTTTATGTTTATGTTTATTATTATTTTTATAATCAAAAAGCAGTTTCAAAGCATCGTTTCTTCAAATTGTTTGAAAAGATAATTAAATTTAAATAAATTTAAAATTATTTTTGATAGAGATGGTCTCTCCTCATTTTCATACATAGTCCGCTCAGATTATTTAATTACCCTATTTTTTTTATTTATGCAAATATTTATCTAAATTTAAATTCAATATATTATCGATATATAAATTTTATATATTAAATTTTATATGTTATTTTGCTAATAAGTAAATATAAATTTTTATAAGTTTTTAATATAAATATAAAAAATTATTTTTTAAAAAATTGGTTAATGAACTTTTGATTAATTAAGAATATATAAAATTTATATATCAATGATATGTCAAATATAAATTTTATTTGTTTTTAAAAAATATATATATTTTATTATTAATAAACATAATATAGGAAGATCGTTTAACGGAAAAAGAATATCTTATTTAAATAAAAAAAAAAAAGAAAAACATATTTTACAAGTAATATGATCGAATACAAGTAGAGTCAAAGTTGAATGGAACGAAACTCAATTTCATTCTAAAGTCCCAGCCAAGAGGTCACATCTAAGTATGCAACACAAACAAGCGTGTGGTTAGACACATAAGCACATCCGATAAACTTTTTGACAAACATTCCATGCCATGCAATAAATTGTGTTTAGATGTATGTTAATCATATTCTAATTATGTCCGTATGTTTAAGACACAATACTTATAAAATATTATAATTTTATGATTTAAATACATTTAATATTATTATGATATAAATTTAATTAATCATGTATTATCATGTTAATTTATAAAATATAAGATGTTGTTTATCATATTTATTTATGAAATTAATTTAATTTTAATTTAAGTTTATTAAAAGCTTTTTAAATTTTTATTTATGATACTTATTTAATACAAGTATATAAAAATTATTTTAAAATTTTAATTACAATACCCATTTAATATTTGTTTAATTTTTTATTTTAATAGTATACTTTCTCTGTCTTTTTCTTATTGGTCTATTTTTCCTTTTTGAGATATCCTAAAATTATGCCTTATTTTTTTAATATCTAAAACTCTTACTTTTTTATATTTTAAAATTAATTTTTTTAATTTTTGACATTAAAAATTACGAAACTTTAATTTTATAAATTTTTTAAATTTAATATTAAATACATTAAAATTAAGACTTTTTCCTTAAACACCGTGAAAATTAATACATGATAAATATTTTGAGACGAAGACCGTAATTATAATTAATATATTTACTGTTAATATGTTTATATTAGTGGTATAATTAAAATAAAATAAAATAAGTTAATAGATGATTTTGGATTTAATTATTCATGTTACAAACAAATAGAATTATTTAAAACTTTTTTTGCCAATATTTAAAACTTTATGTTTTGATTTTTCTTTTATTTTCTTGTGAAAAACCATTATAGGTATAATATGAAACTTTTAGATAACAAAATAAACTTTTAGTTAATTTCAAATTGAATTTTTTAAAATTGAATTAATTAAATTAAATTATTTTCTTCTTATTAATTGAATTAAATTTTTTAATTTTAAAAATTAATTGATTAAAATTAATTTGATTAGTTCGAGTGATTTTTTAATTAATAAAATATATTAAATTAAATTTTATATTTTTATTTTTATATATGTAAAATAAAATAAATAAAAATATTTAATAAAAATATTCAAATAATAAAATATTAAATTAAAAATACTAATAACATAAAATGAAATAGACTATTTCATATATTTTTTATTATATATATAATTTTTATAATATTTTAATTAAAATATTAATTAATTCGATTTTAAAACTAAATTAATTAAAAATAAAAAAATTTAAATTATTTTCGATAATCAATCGAAGTTAATTCGATAATCAATTAATTAATCAAATTAATTTAATTTAATTGATTAATTCAATTAAAATTAAATTATGACCACATTTAAATGCGTTTCATTATTTAAGGTTTCAATCGTTTTCGACACTCGCTACACTGGTACTACAAAATGAGGTCTTAATCTGCATAAAAAGGAAATCAAGTAAGATTTATACAAACATGCGAAGAAGCCGTCAGATCCCGAAACCAAAACAAGCTTTGTTTGGCATCGAGTTTGGCTACGCAAAAGCCTACAAACCAAACTCAAGCCGAACACATTTCCAAAAATGTTGGGATAAAAAGTTATTTTTTCCTTTCCAAGTTTAATAGTACAAACACGGAATTAGCTTCGTCGAAAATACAAAACTCTCACCGAAAAGACATAATGATCTATAACTTTTTCTTTAAATTACAAAATTGCCATTTTGAAATTATTTTTTTGTAAAATTTTATGTAAGATATATAAAATTATATATAATATTATCATAAATTTTCATAATCACACCTCTTCATTGTCTTCTTTCTTCCCAATATTCCCAAAGCATAAATTTTCATAATTACTTTACATGTACAAAATTTTTTACTCAGTTTTTAAATCGTGAACGAACTTATAATAAACGAAATTTACAATTAGAAACTAATTTCAAAAAATCTTCCAAAAACACCGAATGGAATTTCAGTAATTAGTGACGAGTTGCTTCCCTGATCAATAGGTTTTGCAAAATGTTAGGAAAAAGTTTGACTTTGAAGATGGTTGCCAATTGCAACTTCATTTGTTAGTAGAAATGTTCATAAACAGGTTGGGCCGAATTCCTTTCTCACTATTTATCTCCCTAACCTTATCTGGTTCAATCCAATAAAAAAAAGCATAAATATAAAAAAATTAAAATTAAATAATCATTCAAAATCATTCAAAATTTTTATCATTTTATTACAGTTAATTAAGTTTTTAAGCATTTATTTTCACCAATTGAATGTTTATTAGGCGAAAATTGATTAAATGCCTATTCCTTTTTTAGTTTGATTGAGGATTAAATTTATAAAAATATATATTTAAAGATTTAATTGGATGAAAATAAATATTTGAGAGCTTAATTGATTGTAACAAAATAGTAAGGTAACTTTTGGTATTTTTTATAAGATCACCGTGATAATTTAATCATTAAAGTGATTTTAGTACCAAAGTGATCTTATCATCCACGACTTGAAATTACTTAATTTGGTTAATAATCATTCATTATTAGGAATTAAAAATTATTGTGTTTAATATTATTAAAAATCAAATATTACATTGTTTAAAGGTATGAAAATAACTATACATATTGTAATAATTATATAAGTTATTTTTTTAATGTTGTTTAAAGATAATAATTTATAAAATATTAGCAATATTTTTTATTTATTTTATAATAAAATATTATAAAATTAATAAATATATATTTATTGATAGTAAACTGACTTTTTATAATATAAACTAAAATTTTATAATATAAATTATATAAAAAATGTTAGATTAAAAAATAAAACTAATTTATTAAATTCATAATAAAAAATAAAAAGATTGTGTTATATATAAGTATTAAATTTTTTTTAAAATACATAATTTATTTTTAAATTTGGTATAATGAATATTAGATTGAAAATATAAATAGTTATAATATATAATAATTATAATTTAAGAGAAACAAATTTTAAATTTATATATTAAATGAGTAATATTGACTATTATTAATTTTATATATTACTTCATTTCAATGATAAAAGTTTCACTTTTATTAAAGGAATTAAATCACTTTTCAAGATAGTGATATGAGTACTTTCGTTGATTTAAAATTATCGTCACATAATATTATCGAATACTTACCAAATACAATAATTTAATTACTATGCATAGATTATCATAAATTTTAGAATGATCATCTTATACTAAATACTACTTAAAAACTTAGATAATTATTTAATTTTTTTTTAAGAAATTTTTTTAATATTCAAGCCATAAAATAAAAAGATAGTTTTGGTAATTTTCAATATACAACAGTTAAGATTCAAAATTCAGTTCTAAGTGGAGATGCTCAATGCCTAGTTAAGATTCAATATTCAATATTCTAAGCCTTATCTACTGTAGAGTATAGACCCAACAAAACTTTTCAGTGGGAAGTTCACAGATTTTGAAACAATTAAGAACTTTTTTTTTAATGAGGTTTTGATTTAGTAATGAAGAGGAGATTTTAGAATTTTTAGATTTTAAATTCAAGGTTTATTATATGTGAATTTGATTGTTTAATTATATTTTAATTAATTAATTAATTAATGATATATTTATATATTAATATAATAATTTATTATGATTATAACTTTTTTGTATTTGTAATTTCATAAAATTATTTTTGTATTTTTTTTAACTATAACAAAAAAATAATTTATCTTCTTTTTTAAAAAAATCTAATTTCCTAATCAGCCTTTATTAATGATGTTATTTTTTATTATTGCATCAAAAACTAAATAATTGAAAGGAAGAACTTTTGAATGTGCACAGTTCGTCGAATATAAAGTCGTTTTATCCCGTCTCCTGTAGAAGATATTTGTTTTGCAGCTATCGCAAGAAAAGAACCAAAAAAAGCGCCTCCCCGGTCCCGATGGCCACACTAACGACAATTCGAAGCTTTGATATGGACACTAAACGTGCTGCAAATAATTGTTGCAATTTGGCCACTTGCTTCATCACACTCACCTAGAAAGTACATATCAGAAAGTACATATCAGCCGCTTAATACGTTGAAGTTGACAATACTAGAGCCTTGATGGCAAAATTGACTGACATCATCTAAACTTTACAGACCGACATAACCTAAACTTTTTCATGGTTTTGTAAGTAAATTTAAACTTGTTATGTGAGTCTACATGTTGTTTTAGGGTTTGAAACCAATGCTCTGCCTACCTGCCAAACTTACAATTCCTCCTTATTTGCTTTGTTCCAAGACTATATAGCAAGGAGACTGCTTATGGATGTCCATTTAATACTAAATTAAGTGATTCAATCATAAAACGTACATTATCATACATTATTATATCAGCTCCTAATTAAGTGTCTTCCCAGGATTATACAAATAAATTGCCAAGGTTCCAATTGATTATAAAAAAGTTCGAAGCATTTTTGCTTAATCTTAATCTCTTGGAGACAGTAGAACTTGGTTGATCATTTGGTCCAGATTCCTGTAAGATGACCCTTGGGAATTGCGAGTAGCCTCCTCTGCTTTTCTCTTCCACTCTAGAGCTTTTTTCTTCATTTCTTTACCCTCTTCTGCTTCCATTAACTCTCTAACAAGGCTCTCAACTTCATCCCTCTTAACATTACTGTCAATTTCCATGCCGATTCCCCATTTAGTGCAAGAATACCGACAATTTGTTTGTTGCTCAGCAAAAAATGGCCAACATATCATGGGAACGCCGCTTGATATACTTTCAATTGTAGAATTCCATCCGCTGTGTGTTAAGAATCCTCCAACAGAAGGGTGGCTCAGAACTTGTTCTTGTGGGCACCAAGTTGCCAATAGTCCTCTATCTTTGGTCTCCTCTACGAACTCTGCTGGTACGATTGCCGACTCACCACCGATAAGATCGGGCCTGATGACCCATAAAAAGGCTTGGTTACTATTTGCCAGCCCCCAAGCAAATTCAGTTAACTGATCAGCCGTCATGACAGTGATGCTTCCAAAATTCACATAAACAACGGAGTTGGGCCCTTTTGAGTCTAGCCATTGGAGACACTCAGGCTCTTCCTTCCAAAGATTTGATCCTAGTTGTTTCAAATCACTGTCATGGACATGCTGATTCAAAACAAGATGAAGGGGACCCACGGAGTAAATAGGAGGTAGCATTGAAGAGAGTGCATCCAAGACTTCATGCTCCAAGTCATCAAATGTATTCACTATTATTGCTGAGGCCTTTCGAGCTCTTTGGGTTTCAACTGAAAGAAAATCGAGCATAATGAAATTTGGGTCAGTTGTTCTGATAAAATTTGGCAGATCCCTCAATCGGATACCTTCCATTGCTGGTATCCAATCTATGACAGTGTCCAGGTATCCGTTCGTCAAATAGCTTTCATCTGCAAATTAAAAATACAATAATTACCATCAATGGCGGTGCTCATGAAATGATAAAAATGGAAAAACGTGAAGCTAAAAGGAATCTTAAGAGAGCTGATTTTGGATGATTAATTACAATTACCTTTGAGAGGTGTATAACCCTTCTCCATTAGTTGGGGATAGTGAACATAACCCAGGAAGCCACATGCGCTTGGGGTCCAAAAGAGAACTTCAGGGACGCCAAGTTCTTCAGCTGCATCAAGAGTGAAGCTCATGACTCCATCCGAAACGATGCAAGAGACAGGAGGAGCGTTGGTTGAGGAGTCGTTGAGCTTGTGAAGCAGTTGTTTAAAGTAAGATAAGCAGGTTTTGGAGGTGGACTCGCACAGAGATGGAATGTCTTGGGTGGCATCAGCTTCTGTTGGAGGGAGGCCGTCAGGAATGGTTTCGAAACGAAAAGAAGGGAGGCCATTGAGAGCACCTGGACCTCTGGATTTGAGCAAACGTTTGTGATTGAACTCTGTGTTGACAAAGGTGATATGGAATCCTCTGTGGTGAAGTAGTTTGGCAAGCTTTAGCATGGGATTAATATGGCCTTGAGCAGGGAAAGGAATAAAAACTGCATGAGGCTTGTCTGTGGAACCTAAAGAACCCATTCTCTATCTTTTCACTTACGAAGCAGGCCAAGACTTTAAAATTAAGTTGAAAACAAACACTCAAATGAACAACAGGTAGGGAAGGATACGCTGCAGGGGAGAGATTTAGATCCCTATTTATGGACAGAACGTAGATGAAATTATTTAGGTAAAATTTTTGAAATTAAAAAAATGATTTAATAAAATTTAATAAAAAATTTAAATCTATAGATAAATAAAGTGTAATATGAAAATCAATAATATATAAAAAATATTATTTATAATTTAAATTTAATTTATGTAACGATGAAAATTTTATTAATATTTTTACTAAAAATATTTGTTTAATAAATATATCAAAATTTATTAATTTTTAAAAAAAATTATATGTTTAATCTATATAATAAAAATTTTCAATCTATCAATTTTAATTTTATTTATTTCTAATAAAAACTTTCATAAACTTCATCTATAAATCTTTATATAAATATTTCCCCTATTTTTTATAGCCCTTTTTAAGTGGGGTAAAGCACTTTCTTTCGACTACAAAACTTGGCTTAGCAAAATTTATAAGATCAAGAGTCAAATAAATCGGGCAACCGAAGCGAAAATAAAATTGACAATTTTAAATTTACAACTATATCTATCCTTTTTCTTTGACTTTTTCTGGTTTCGGATATAATATTTTTTTCAAGGATATTCATTTATAATATATAAATAAATTTATTAATTTTATGGAAAAAAAAAAAAAAAAGCACAAAAAGACGTTGAGAATTTTACAGAAAAATTTTTTTAAAATTTTTTATATTTTAATATTTGATGGTGTCCCTAAACATTTTACAATTACATGTAGATATGCTTATAATTTTTCCCCTTTTTGTGGTAAGACTTAATATAGAGATTAAAAGAATATGCTTTACTATTGATTTATATTAAAATTTTTTTTCCTATATATATAAATATATTTTTGTCTTGTCCATTATCCAGAATTTATAGTTAGTTTTTTCCCCTAAAAAAATAAACAAATATATATATGTTGAACTTTTTGTTTTTGTCTTTATATAATCGACTTATTTGCTTTTATATGATGCAATATTTAACTGTAAATTTGGTCAAAATCTCTTGCCCTTGGTTGGACGGCATCAATGTTGAAAATTTGGTCCTATCTTATATGACCATTATAAAATCCCTACACAGCCTTAAAAAAAAAAAACAAAATTAATAACAATCAACATTAGCCATCAATAACGTGATTTTTAGTAAAATATTTATAATTTTAATTTTAAATTTTGATAATTTTAAATATAAAATAATATTAATTAATTTTTTCTTTAATAAAATATAAACAAAAAAAATTAATACAAAAGGACTCAAGTAAATGAGGAAATATTGTTAGGAAATAGGGTTGTCTCATCTCCATTAATTAGTATTTTCTAAACCAAAATATTTATTACCAAACGAATAAAATATTGTTATTAAATGTTAAATAACCAAGTCAATAATCGTCATGTTTGAAAAGGATTTGCTAGTAAAATAATGGAGATAATCTTAATTTTGTCAAATTTGTTGAATAAATTGGTGCTGCATGTCCAAGAAATCGGTTATACATTGAATCTAAATTTTTCAATTTTTTAAAATCATAATTCTCATTAAAATAAATTATAAATTCAAATCATATACTTTTCAATTCATAATATATATATATATAATTACGTTTTATGATTAAATTTTTATAAATTTTCATAAACAATATCATAACACGGAAGGAGTCTCACCCACCGTGCTATCAAGTGAACCAATAGTCTTCTAATATTGTAATTGCACCATTAAATTATTCAATCTATGTAATAAGGAATAAAACCTCGCATATTTTTTCAAATGTCTCATTAATGAATTGTTATATATTAATTAGAATTTAGAAATACTAATGTAAGAGATTAGTCTTAATAATTAATTGCTATGCGGATCAGCCCTCAATTGTTCTGTAATTAATTTGATTAGGTTTTATAATATATGTGATTTTTTTTTAATGAAAAGTAATTGATTTCTTTCATTTTTTATATTATAATCGAATTTTGTAAGTAAAGGTGCAGTAATACCACAAACGGTAAAAAATGGACTGTGAAAATCCAAATACTTTACTTTCTTATCCAGGACTTTGCCCCCTTACAGACGCAATGGTACACTGATAGCTGATAAATAAGTACATCTATTTCCCATTTTGATGATAGCAGCCACTATTAATTGTAGCCTAGTGTCATGAATTATTAATATATTTATTTATTTATTTTTTAAAAAATATTTAAATATATTTATTTAACAGTAAATGTTTGAAATATTTATTCAAATTAAAAAATTTTATTTTAAAAATAAGATATAATCTATCAACAATCATTTATTTATTATTAAAATATTAAACTCTCCAACATTATTAAGTATTATGTTTACTTTGTCGTTTGTCGATTTAGGTTGATGCTTAAAAAGTGGTTTTTTTTTTTTCTTTCAAAACTTTGTTTTTCCTTTTGTAATTGAGTAAATGAAAAATGAGCAAGTTGAATATTTTGGCTATAGTATCAAAAAAATGCTTTTGCTATGTACATATTTGTAAGTTATAAAATAATATTACCCCAAATGGCAAGTTTGATTATGCTCAAATAACCCCCAACAGTCGCCATTTCAATAGTTCTTAGGCGAGTTAAATCAGATTGTTATATTTTTTATATTTACAGCACTAATCATCTAAACCATTATGTTCTCAAATAATATAGACGCGACTTGGTCTATGTTACTTTATCTTTTTTCTTTGTTGGTTTATCAACATTGATAAAGTATTCAAATTAAAAATAGCTAATAATAATTGATGGAGTTTATTTTGAATATAAAATAATAAAATATTTAAATTTAATAAAGGTTAGGTAATATCAAACTAGTAAGCCTCCAACGTGTCTAAACAGAGACAGAAACCTATCATTGTGATAAATTTAAAATTGGTCTATTATAAAAGATTTATTTAAAATTAATTAAATATTATTTGGTAGATAAAAAAATTTATAAAAAAATTAAGAGAAAAATAATTTTTAATAAGTAATTTTATATATTTGTAAATAAGTAAAATTTTTATAGTATTAAGTATAAAAAATATATAAAAAATTGTAAGATTTTATTTTATAGAAGGTGATTAATGTTTTGTGAGGGTGTACATTTGAGTAGATTAAAAAAAGAGATATTTTATATAGATATGATATATAAATATATATAAGTATATATTTATTTGAGTTGAAAATATTTTATAAATTAAAAAAAAATTATGAATATTAAATAATTAATTAATTTAATTATATATTTATAATTTTTATATTAATATTTTTTAATTCATAAATTAAGTTTAAATATATTGAATATTATTTTTTTATATGATTATTACTTCTTCGTAAACACTTTAACTGATTATTTAATATAAAGTTTTAGTCATGACACTTACGCTACCCATTTGCGTCCAAAAGCTACGCATAAAGCTTTATAAACGAAAGTCTTTCACGTGAGGATTGGCAACGCGCATTGACTTTGCCGGTGGTTTTGCCTTTAAATAACATTCTAATCCTACTTGGCAATCAATACTGCTATAAAAGCGTAAACGTTATCCAGCGTTAGATAACCAACGATTATCAGTCTTCGTCATTAAAATTAAAACAGGAAAAAAATATAAATAAAATAAGTACGCAAATCAATGAATTTATATCTCTAAATTGAACACTATTATTCTTCCGTCACAACTATTATTTGGCGGTGTTCCAGACCCAAATTTAAATTCATACGCAAAGAGACCCTTATAATGTTTAAAGGCGGCAGCCGATGCTTCTTCTTCGACAGACTTACGACTCTATCACTGTTTATTTCTTGAATTTGGTGCTTTGAACATGTGCTGACAGTGAAGCTGCCTTTCGAGTTCAAGTTGTGGGTCTCCTTGCAGATTTGATTGATACATGAGATCTTTATTTGTTTTTAGCCATTTTCATGAGTTTTGATTTTGTTATCGCCTTTGCTTTCAACTAACATTGATCATGAAAATGTACATTGCTCTTCATTATTGATATTGATTTTTCTAGTCGACAAAAGTTGTCATCTAGTAATCCAACACTGTTTTTATTTTTCTTTTTTGGATTAATGAACACTAATACAATAATATTTTATCTCTTCCTTTCACAAGGGAAAATCTTTCAAACCAAGACAATAATTGAGGAAAGAAGTTTCATATGCCGATGAACTATAGCACATGCCTCGTTATTGATTGTGAATGGCCCACTATGAGCTCCATCGGCTTATTATAGGCAAACATTTTGCACGTTCGGCGAAAGAAAAAAAAAAAAAGGTAATAAAAGAACTGCCTTATCTCTTTGACTCCTTCCATTTTTCATGTATTATTTTCTTAGGCACTGACTGACACAGATTAAATGCATAGACAGAAGCAAAATATCTGCCATATATTGTAATTTTATATTTCAGCTTTATTTATTTAGTTTTTTTTTTCTTTTAACCTTATTAACCAAGATGAGATTCTATAAACCACATATGGTGAGTGAACTAATTATGAAGAATTATTTAAGGTCGGAAAAAAATGATTATATGTTCTAACTTCCATCCATGCATTTTATTATGTAAATAATTGTGTTCCAAAGGTGCACCTATATTGATTGATAAATATATATAAAAAAAATTGATTTAAGAGGTATTTAACTCTTAAAGTGTGTTTAGGGTGTAATATTATAATAAAATAATATTATAAATAGAATTAAATTAAATAATATTATTTTATTTTATATTTAATATATGTAAAAATTAAAATAAGATAATTTTATTTATTTATCAAAATTATTTTTCTTTAAATTTATATAATATAAATTATTGATATATTGTATAACAGAACATATAGATCATATTTGATGCATAAGATAATAGATAAGATAAGAAATATAATCATTTTATATTATATTTGATTTGTATCTAAAAGAAATATAATTACAACAAAATTAATCATCATTTTGGTATAAAATGATTCAATCCTCTCAAAACGAAGAGGATTATTTTTAATCAATGTG